GGGTGAGGAACCTCTGCAGGTCCCATCTGGGGCTGCGGTTTATCCAGTGATGCTGTGGATTGTCCGCACTCTGTGTCCCTGGGGCCCCTTCTCAGCAGCCAGGCACCATTCCGGCTCAAACCCCAGCTCTGTTGCCAGTTAGCACGGTGACTTTAGCCACATAGGAGGGGTGATTAAAAAATATGACTATTGTGGCTGGGCGTGGTGGCATACTCCTGTAATCCCAGCTCCTGGGAGGCTGAGGCAGGAGGATTGTTGGGAGTTCGAGACCGGCCTGGGCTACAAAGTGAGTTCAAGGCCAGCCTGAACTGCATAGCGAGACCCTGTCTCAAAAGACCAAAAAAAAAAAAAAAAGACTATTTAAATTTTTTAAAACTTAGTACAGTAAAAATAGATCACCTGGCTTATGGCTTCAGGGGTTTCCGTCCATGGTCAGCTGGCTCTGAGGCAGGCATGGTGTGGTGGAGGAGAGCTGCTCATCTCATGGCATCCGAGACACGGAGGATACAGTCCCTAAGGTTACACCTTCACTTCCTGCTATGAGGCCTCACCTAGCAATGCATTAACCCACTGAGGCCAGCACTCTCTCACAGTCCAGCCGCCTCTCCAGGAACCTCTTAGTCCCATCAAGCTGTCAATCAAGACTGACCCCACACAGGTTCTTTGCCACATTCCCAAATCCGGGCCTCTCTACTTCTGCTGGGTGCTGGTCTCATTGTTCCACAGGGACTCGGTGTTGGAGGAGATTTGGAGGAAGCCCAGGTAGGATGGCAATGCAGGAAGCTGGGGATGAGTGGGGACACAGGCTGTGTCCTGCTCACTGGACCCCTGTCCCTCCTTCAGTGCTGCCCTGAGCCAGCCTTGCTCACTGAGGCCGGGACAGGATTCCAGGTGGAAACGCTGTCCCCAGGGAACTGCCCCGTGTGCACTTTCTCTCTCCTCTCCCTCATCCTGAGGCAGGCAGTGTGTCACCCAGAGAGCTCTCTCTGAAGCCAGTGCCTTGTGTCCACACAGCCTCCCCCCTCCCCAGTGCCAGGCCGGCCTCGCCCACTCCCTCCTGCCCAGACTCCTCTCTGCCCTTTCCCTTTCTGTCTGCTGCTTTCTGTCTGCATAGCTTTCCTTATTTCGCTCCCCAAAGGAAAATAAAAGCCACCCTGACTTAGGTTGTCTTCCCAATCCAGGTGCCGGTACCAGCCGGGTCCCTGCCCTCCGTGGCCAAACTCGAAGGACTCCTGGTGTGCGAGGCTTGTGTGGCCCCAGGACAGTGCCTTGTGATGCACGGGAACACTGCTGAGTAAGTAGGTGTTTGACAGAGGTGCCTGTCACCTGCAGAGAAGTCAGTAGCTCCAGGCCATCTGTCGGGAAGAGGCTGACTATGGTGGGTTCAATTCTGAGCCATGCAGGGCCCTGCCTGGCAGCTGCTGCCAGCCCCTTCCCATGGAAACTGGTGGGAGGAAGCCGCAGGCTGTGTCAGCCATCTGAGCTCTCATCCTGTCCTGAGCCAGCCTTGCTCAGATCTCCTCAGTGTACGGAGCACAAGGAGCACAAGGACACGATCACATGGTCTTTGGGCTGTTCATGCCCTGAGTGAGGTGTCCCCCCTCTTCCCAGGACTGGGTCCCTTTCCAGCCCTCTCCTGGCTCTCTTCTGCCTGCTCCCCGTGTTGCTCCTTCCCCTCTCCTTTGGAGCCTCATCTTCTCCCCATCCCATCAGCAGGGAATTGCTCAATCTTCCAAGTCTAGCAGTGCGGCTGGTCAGTTTCATTTACTGGTTCATGTAGTCGACAGTACTGCTGGTGGCTTATGTGTCAATGCAGCTAGGTTAGGTCTCCACTTAGCCAAGCCCTAACCTAGGCAGATATGATTTTTTTTTTTTTTTGAGACAGGGTCTTGCTATGTCACTCAGGCTGGGCCTTGAACTTGTAGGGATCCTCCTGCCTCAGCATTCCAAGTGCTGGGGTCACAAGCATGTGGCACCATGCTCGGCTTAGGTAGATGTGATTAAAATCTGTAATCATCTGACTGAATGACGGAGGGAAGCCTCAGCTGTCCCTGTGAGTTCCAAAGTGATTTCCTGATGCTGCCCTGGAACTTGCTTCATCATCCCACTGTTGTGCAAGCCATTCCTTGTACTGAGCTTGAACACAGCACCTTGCACTGAGATGCATCCTCAGCCTTTTTTGTTTGCCTTGAGGCATGGTCTGGCTAAATTGTCCAGCTTGACCTTGGACTTTTAAACCTCTCGCCTCAGTCTCCTGAGAAACTGGTAGTAAATGTGAAATCAATCTCTTAATACATATTTTCTACTCTTCTGCTTCTTTGGTTGAACCCAGACTGATACAAGTGCTACGTGAATTTTTTTTTTTCCAGTGGTGGGCATTGACATGCTAAGCAAGCCCTCTACATTGTACTGGACTTGAACCCAGGACCTTGCACTGAGCTACATCCCAGCCTTAATTTGTTTTTTAAATTTTAAGATAGGTCCTCGATAAATTACCCAGGCTGGCTTGGAACTTGTGATGCTCCTGCCTCAGCCTCCTGAGTAAGTGGGGTTACAGATATAATATAACCATGGCCGGCACTACTTGAATTTTTAAGCCACCTGTGGATTATTTTGATAAAACTACACATTGAAATAGAAGTTTGCTAAATAAAAGTTCAATCACCTGGAAAAAAAATGAAGAAGCATTAATTAGAAAAAGGATGGGAGAAGTACAGAAAAATGTTCTTAACAGTTATCTCCGGGTGACAGAACTACAGGTATTATGGTAGCCGTCTCCAAAATAACCTTTGTGTCCTCCTCCCTTGCAGTGCTAAGATGCCACTGGACTGTCTCCTGGGTTCCCACAAGGTCCCCTTAATGAGTCAAAAGTCATAGGTCATAAATTAAAAATAGGATAGTTAAAAAAAAAAAAGGTAGGATGGTTTAAGTGATTCAGCTCAGCTTTTGAATTTAGGTGCTAACAGGACGTTTGAAATGTAACAGATGACCAAATTTTAGCAATATAAGTTGTTTACTACTGTATTGTCCAGAATTCTTAGTTGTTGCAGCATAAACCACTGTGGCTAAGATGTGGCAGGAAAGGAGTTTATCAAGGGAGGTTATATACAGGAGAGGAGGTAATCAGGCTTCTATGTCACTGTGTCACAAATATCACTTGAATTATATCCCAGACCTGCCCTGGTGGCCACCCATGATCCCCACAGGGCTCAGGCCCCACACTGACCCAGGCTGGAGGTCTCTACCACCAGAAGGAGGTCTCTACCTCCGTTTGTGTCAGAACGTGTCCCATGGGGTACCTGGCTTGTCAAATCCTCCCAACCAAAGTTTCACGGGGGCTCATGTAAGCCTGCCTGTATCTCAGTTGCAAAGGATGCTGGGAGAGTCAGTTTCTGGCTGTGCTCTGAGAGGAGATGCGAAGTCAGTGGGTGGAGAATTTCTATAAAATCGGTGAGAATTTATGTCTAGACAGTTCAGCTCAGGATGCTCAGCTGTTTTGATAAAAGCCAGATCAACACTAATTGGCACCATCCATTGAGAGAGCAACACAGCTGTCACCTAGATCATGTGCTGGAGGCTGTTTAGCCTAGCAGGGCCCTCACCCCAGCTGGGCCCCACTGAATGAACTGCTGCCCCTTCCCTGCCAGTTGGAAGTGACCCACAGTGCCTCCCAGGGCTTCTGGCTTCCAGTACCCACCTCTGCATTTTCGGTGCCATGCAGGGGTGGGCATCACCCCCCTGTTCCTGGGGTGGTAGCCACCATGTGCTTGAGCTGGGGACGTCTTCCTTCCCACAGTACCCAGGAGACGTGGCTGCACCAAAGCTTATTTTGGGTCAATCTCCTCCTTACGGAGTCAGTGTTCTCTTGGCAAAGGCCTATAGTTTTTCCTAAAAAATAATCTAATCAGAAACTATGCAATTTTTTTTCTTTTTATGGAGTAACAAAAAAGAAAACACCATAAATACGTAGTTCTGTGAGTTGTGACATACTCTGAAGAAAGAACATTCAAAGAATTCCAGAAATTTTCTTGTGCCTCTTTCAGTCATTACTCTGTAAGACAACCACTCCAAACACCATACATTAATTTTGCCAATCATTGAAGTCAACGTGGAATTGAGTGGCATGTGTTCTTTTGTGTCTGACTTCTTTCACTCAACACTAAAAGCTCAGAAGATCTTAGTTCTCTTGTTTGTCCTTTTCCTCAGTATTCCACAATGAAAAAAATAGGACTGTAATTTTAAAAATTGCAGATCATAGTGGTGCACACCTGTAATCC